AGGATAAAAAAAAACTACAAGTCAAAACCTCCCATGTGTATCATTTCTCCCCTGCCTGTAATTAGAGCCAAAGAAACGAGCATAGTCGTATGAAATATCTCTAAATAACAACAAAATCGTCAATTCTGATTACAAATGTCATTGAAACAGAAAATTACCATGTAACGACGAAAAAACACAAAAGTATGTAAGAGCTACGTTTGACGCCGCCTGTGCCGCAGCAGTCGTGCTCTAGTACAAATTCAAATTCGTCTACTAGGTGTCTAGCGGGGAGGGGAGGGGGGAGAGAGAGGACAGTTAAGGAATATTTGAAAAAGCTCTCGTACGCTCAAAAGCTTCAATCTTTCTAACACTTCGAAAGCAGCATAATACAAAACAGTAAGTTGAAACCACCTATTTCGCGCTAATATAGAAGAGCAAATTTGATAATGTGTGTTCTTTAGCAGAAATTCTCCCACCAATTCTCGCTGCTGTAGGGGCGCTACGTCAAACTTTAGATTTACTAGTCTTTACTAGTGTGTTTTTAAGTTCCTAGAATTAGCCGAAACTGTAAGAATAGAGCATCAAGCTCAAACATTGCATACTCAGATCTCCGCTCCCATAGATCTTGGCCAGCAAGCGACGTTGCTGATTCTACAACGAATATACCACGAACTCAAGGTACCACTACATGCCTTACAAGCTGAATGATAGTAATTATATGCAGGTGGTAACAAAACGCATGGTGGAAGCCGATCGTGAAGAAGAAGCGGCAAATAACTGGAAATTTGCTGCAATGGTGGTAGATCGACTGTGTCTCTATCTTTTCACAGTATTTATATTAGCCTCAACTGTGGGAATTTTCTCATCTGCTCCGTATCTTGTTGCCTAATTTCCGTAGTCGCTGTGAGTGTAGATCTTCAATTCATATCATCGCTTCTTCTCCATAACAGCACTAGGTTGAGCCATAACGGAAAAGCAAATTTTTATAACAATAAGAGCTCATTTTCAAGAGCTTATGTTAATATCTTCATATTGTTTTTGAAGCTCTATAGGTT